AACCCCGAAACCCCTAAACCCTGATCCCTAAACCCTAAACCCTAAACCCTAAACCCTAAACCCCTAAACCCCTAAACCCCTAAACCCCTAAACCCTAAACCCCTAAACCCTAAACCCCCTAAGCCCTGAACCCGGAACCCTACCGAATCCACGGGCTCTCCAAGCACTGCAAGGTGGCCGACGGAGGCACCAGTCTGCCTATGGAATCTGGGCTTAGGGTTTAGGGTTTAGGTTTTAGGGTTTAGGGATTAGGGTTTCGTGTTATGATGCATGGCGTCGTGACACACGACACTCCTATTCTAGGACATTTCGAGTTTAGAGGACTTACTGTAGGGTTTAGGAGTTTGGGGTTCTTGAATTTTCCCTAGACCCTAAACCCTAAACCCTAAACCCTAAACCCAGATTTCAGGTCTTGGCCGAAGTTACCGAAGTTGTTTGACTTTTCTGCTCCACCCACGCCTCAGCTTGATCTGAGTGCGTGGCCCGTGCATTGAAAGGAGGTCCGAATTCGTATTCACGCCCAATGTTCGCAGTGTTTTCGAGCCAACTCTGAACTAAACCGAACACACAACCGAAAGGTGTCTATATTTAACACCCCGACAAAAGTCCGTCGTGATTTTGCATTTGGCATGGGGCATCGGCGTTGTCAGCATCGTTTGAGCATCCCTGGAAGCTAGAGCCCACCTGCTAATTACCCTAATCCGAGCATCGACTAGTCGAAGTATAGCTTTTTCGAAGCTATACCCTAAAGGGTCCATGTACTCATATAGGATATACATTGGCCCCGAAGTACCTACATAGGGACTAATTTAAGGCCAAAGTATCTACTATTTGGGGTACATGGACCCTTAGGGATAGTTATAGAGGCTATTCGGGCTACGTGCGCACGTAGTTTCGGAGAGATTGCTCACCCTAAACCCTAAAGTGCTGTTCGGAGTAAGGGCATCATAAGACTGTTGGGGCTCAGGGCTCAAGGTTCTCCAACCCCTAAAGAACCCTTGATGGTAATGGTCACCACGGTTTAGGGTTTAGGGTTTAGGGTTTTCAGAACATAGGTATTTTGTCTTAAAACAGAGTGTAGTTAGAGTGGGTCTAGCTAATCCCTGAGCATTTTTGTAACGCCTGGAGCAGCAACACATGCCCAAAGAAACAGAGCAACTCGAAGTTTTTTCCTAAGCACGCCCTGACCTCTCCGTTTGCCACCTGATTGAGGCGGCTAATATACGATACAACTTCTATAGGAACAGTAATAGCATATACTGCAAGACTAGACTATGCTGTATCATGACTACATTAATACTATTGGCGGGTCGGATGTCGTTGCACAGGCCACCACAGGATCTTCTCCATCTGAGATCGAAGAATGACGCACTTTTGGGATTAACGGCTTAGAGTCACCTGCAAGACCCTAAACCTGCAAAGCTGTAAACTGCTACTAGTGCAGAGCACGAAACCTTGGCACTCCGAAGCACTGCCCAACCCTAAACCCATAAAATTTAAGCACTTCGAATCTAAGGATGGCGTGCTGCTGAATCCATGGGACTTCGCCCTACCTCCTGCACTCACCTTGCAGACGACTGGAGTGCCTGGCCTTGCAAGAGCTCTGGTTATGGATGGCGTCTAGTACACAAGTTGTTGACTGTTTGAACCGGCTCATCACTTCTGCTTAATTACGGTTTTGCCCTGAGGCTTCAGGGTGCGGCCAATTTCTCGTACGCACCATTAATGTTTTTTTCGCAGGCAGCAGGCGTAGTGTGTGGCGGGTTGGGCGCTTGCCGCCAGACTTTGCGGACACGCGCACATAGAGGCTGGAAGGGGCCTGAGGCGACCAAGACCTGAAGTCGTTTGCAAATTTTTGGGGGGTAGCCTGCACATGCAGGTCAACAAATTTGGTGCAAGCCTAGGAGCCTGATGTTTAGCCAGGGAAATTAAAGCTTAAACTTTCAGATTGTTACCACATCAAAAAGAACCCAAAAGGTTAAACCTTGGGTATTGGAGAGCTACCCAGAGACCCCAATACCCTTTCAATAAGGAATATACCTCAAGTCATACGTGCCTTCATCTTATGATTTAAGGTATATTCCTTTATCGAGGGGTATTGGGCTCTCTGTCTAAAGCACCCTCATAAGACCTTAAGCCCTAAACCCTAAAACCC